ATCCAGCTCGGTAACAGATGTTCAGAAGATCCATCGAGCAACAACGAGCAACTGACACACTGATACTGACACCGCTGAGAGTTGCACGAAAAGGCGACGCAAGGCAAAGAAGACGCGAAAGGTCAAGCCGCTCAGGACACAACGAAAGGTCACCAAACTTCAGCTTCAGGGGAGCAAGGTCACCGAGCTCGAGTCAAGGCAATCCGGCTCCGTCATCAGTACCGCAACCACCGAAAGAGGTGCCACAACAAGCGCAACCTTCACCAAAAGTAGAAAAGAACAACCTTTCGAATTATTGGAAGAGGATATCGTCGACGGCAAACCGTTATATGATTGGTGATGACCTTTCTGAAACCAACGTCCCGTGGATGATGATTTGCGCTGTGATTGGTGCAGTTCCGTCAAGAGAAATGGATAAGACGGAAATCGCTAAAGCAGTTAGCGACGCCGGAATCACCAGGACACAAGTCAATAAAATCATGAAAAGGGCATACAAGGAAGGGAAAATCGGTGTGAAATACACAAATACGAATATGCCGATTCATTACATCCTCCGGTTGAAGATCAACGAAAGCAGAGGCCGAAGCCAGGTCCCCAAGCGTGGAAAGATGCCCTGACCAAAGATGCTCTGCAGAATATCGGTGGAACCAATGGGGTTACGCAAGAAGATGTCCAATTATATGGCGGTCCAATACGACTCTGGTCAGGAAAACATGAACGGAGATCGATTCAAAATCCAGAACGCACTGGATAGCCTGGTCAAAGACGGAACTCTCAGAACATGGAAGAGGAATGGAATCGACCGTTATGACTGGATCGCAAAGGCATAAAGAAAGAATAAGTGTGGGAGGAAGGTCCACCACACAAGATGAAGAAACAGAATCAGAAAAAGACAGTAAAGGAGGCAGACCGTAGTTCTCAGATTACTTTGAACCACACTCTGCAAGAAGAGTTGAATTAGCGAATGGGCTACAAAAGTACTTAGCGAATGGGCTAAGATGAGAAAGGTCACATAGACAGTTGAAAAGGGTTTAGTCAAAGAAGGATGGCAAAGGTCATCGTGAAAGAGCAGCGAAAAGTCTCAGCTCAGCACTGAATAGCCTAGTTATCATAGGCGTAAACTAGGCGTTGAGAAGGGTTAACGTAAAGGCCATAGCATTATATTGTTTGAGATTGCAGGTTGAAAAGGTCAAAATGGCTGAACGGAGCCAACCTAACCAGAATGCGGCGAAAAAGGGCCAAAGACCAGCAATAAAGAAGGTGAGCGGAGATCCACTGACGAATTACAATGAGGACTGCCCAGATTGCAAGCGAATAACATCCTGTCGAACGAACGATTCCATGCTGGCTTTGTGTGGTCGCAGTACCAAACCAAGCAGTGGTAGTACCAGAAGAGGCGAGAAGGGTAACCTCGATGTGTTCCGACATTTGGTTACGGGAGACACATGGAAGAAACTGTCACCGGAAGATCGGATGATTCTGGAAGATAAATACCGAATGTGGGTCGGGCGCAGACCGGGATGGGATATCACCCTGGAACCGCCGAGAACGCCGGAAGCAGACGCTTTCAGAAAGAAGTTTGAAGAAGATACAATGAGAATGGTACAAGAAAGCGCGAAGCAGAGAGAAAGCGCTTAGAAGAGAAGGAGAAAGCTGCGGCAGAGAAGGGTTTAGCCGAAGCAGCTAAAGGTCACGCACCTATCCCAATGGCAATACTGAAGAAACAAGACGAGGGAGAAGCAGCGGTGATCAGACAGTCACTGATACAGCAAATTGACACCATCCTGCAAGATCCACTCGCCGTGTCGAAAGAAGAATACAAGATATTCTTGGACGAAAAGGTCAGCCTAACGAAAGGAAATAGGCCGTCTCAGGTCATCAAGATTGCGATTGAGGAACGAATCGACAGGATGCGAAACTTCCGAAAACGAGAGAAAGATGTCGTCGAGGCCCTCCGAAACTTCAAGAAAGAGGAGTTTAGACGCCCAAAATCACCAGAGAGATGATCGATCTCGCGGCTATGAAAGGTCATCAGACCGCTCCCCGAGAAAGGTCGTGGGAAAAGAGTCGCGATGACAGATAAAGCGGATATGCAAGAGATACGCGTACGTCGGAACAAAAGAGAAGAGACGAAGAACGTATCCGACGAGAAAGAGAGCAGCGGGAGAAGCGCCGCAGAGAAGAAGCAGAAGAAAAGCGATTGACGGAAGAATACAGGAAGATCAATGAGACCTGTAACAGGCAGCAGGAGAAGGAACGGGCTGCTACGGATGTGCAAAACCGTGAAAGGGATTCACAGAGTCGAGAAGGACGAAGTGAAGCCTCGAGCAAATCTTCGAAGAGCCCGTACGATCCGCAGTGGGCGCAAGACAATTTGAACATGGAGGATTACGAGTTCGGGAGACAAAGCATACAACAGTAGCAAAAGGTCATCCAGCTCGGAAAGTCACCGCACACCCAAGAGCCCACGCAGATTGAGGTCAATGGTCCATTCCGTTTGTTCAACGTTTAAACCAGTCGAAAAACAACCGGAAAAGCAAGCGGACGAGGTCATGGAATGCAGCCCGTCATCCTCGAATGTCATTGAAGTTCACGGAGACGAGGATATGCGACCGTCAAGACGAAACATCATTTTCGATCTTGAGCATCAGCTTACAAGCGCGGAGACGGCGAGTAATGCACCGCCAGAATCGGAATCAGAGAAGGGCGACCAGAAAGGTCAATCAAAGGTCACGGCCCCGAGGAGACAATCCCTACAAACCATCGAGCTGGTATATGAAATGAATGATATCATGGAGCAGACGAACGAGATTTGCCGTTCGGTGGGCATCGCGCCGGATAATAAAGAAGAATTCGACAAAGTTTATTGGCTTCTCATGAACTTGCGCCAGGTCATCAACGACTCGGGATACGCGAAGGAATACGAGTACGGCCAATGGGAAGACCTTATCATTACGCAAGAATCGGCGAATCTTCATTATTTCCCAACGAGAGAATGTGGCCTTGTCAGTTTGATCGACCTGAGTCTCTTGGAAACACCATTGGACACTCCCGATCCAACAGGAATGACGCAGTTCCAATACAGAGACATCAAGGAAAGACGACTCCACGTAGCACAATTTGTGTTGCGACATGTGAACCCGGCCTTGAGACTCCTCGCAGGAAGGGCTGCGTTAGGATTGTTGGTCAAACCAGATTCTCCGCCCGATCATCGCGCCACGATTCAGAAGATTTTTGCAGCAAGGCTCGGCCATTACGAATCGCATCACCAGCTGCGAAAGAGCGCCCAAAGAGGTATAGAGATACCGCCAGCACTGACCGCGCAAGTTATAAAGCTGGGAATGCCTGTTAAGAACTTTAACTCGGAAACGGCCAGGAGGCAGCTGAAAGACGTCCAGAGAGCAATGAATTTCGATGAAAGTCTGAGACGTCAGGCGAAGATGCACGCACACCGATGTGCAGAGCGAATCAGGATTACGATGGGAACAAGATTCATCCAGCCATCCGACTTCGTCTATGATTTCATCCAAGAAATCAGCGTAAATAGAGGCAGCTACCGTCCAGAGCTCGCGAGACAGCCGCAGGAAAATGAAATGAAACGAAGAGGACGAAGAAACCAACAGCTGCATTTGGACTATGTCGAATTGTGCAAGAGGTCACGGGATAATCCATACGATGAAGGATTAAAAGCGCGAATGGTTGACGCTCGAGATCATCTGATCCGTATTCAGCGCAGACGTGACCGAAATCGGCACAGTGGTGCTAGCAGCCGGAGCGAAGGAGACGAGCTGCAAGAGAGGGGAATGGAACCTCGAGATCGAACGTCTGATCAGAATGAAAAACAAAGACGTTTTGATCGGAACCGCGACGATGGTTCAAATGATCAGTGATGACCTTTAGGGCATCGCTGATGTGCTAGTTACGGCCATCAGTCGGCAGCACGAGAATGGTAACGAAGGTACAGTATTAGGGCGAAGGAGACATAACGTATTGAATTGTCATACCGTTTGTGTATTGTTGTTTGCAGAACTTTGTTGCAGGGATCAATGTGATCTTTAATATGGGAGTTACGGAGGTCATCCGGCCCTCGAAGCAGGAAGAGTAACGGCGTTAACCGGCCTTCCTCATTACATTTAAACGTCACTTCTAGAGTGTAGTTGCGGCCTACCTAGTCGGCACACTCTTAAGGAATGTCAGAAGCCACAACCGGCCTCAGAAGAGAGGAGTTACGGCGTTAACCGGCCCTCGAACCTGGTAAGGAAAAGAAGAAAGGTGCGCGTCAATTGGCACTAAAAGAAAGGAAAGGATGTGCGACAGAAGAAAATGGTTGAAAAGATGGATGACCTTTACAAGGGAGGCAAGCAGAATTGCTTGAAAGCCAAAAAATCGGCTAAGTTCCTCCATGACCTTTAATATGGAACTTACGAAGGAAAATGGATGACCTTTGGGATCGTCACTGCCCAATTGAATCGCACATCAGAAAAGAAAGGATGACCTTTGAGAACTTCACTGCTCAAGAGAGTCATCGAGAAAAAGAGAATGACCTTACCAGGGAGGAAGCATTAAGCTTGTCTTTCAAGACGTCCCTCCATGTCCAAGAGGAAGAATCTCATTTGACAGAAGTCGTACTTTGATACGCAATTATTCCAAAGATGAAGAAGCAGTATTCAGAAGTCGTACTTGATACGCACCTATTCCTAAAGCGGATCTCTCATTGTGATGAAAAAGATTGCTCAATAGAGCGGAATGGACCAAAGTGGATTACGGTTGACAGGACCCAGTGACCTTTACGAGTCGGAGGATCCTAGTCGTTTTGATAATGAATTCTGATATTTTTTACTGTTTTTACTTTTGTTTCGAGATCTCTTTATTCACACATGTAATTGGAATTTGTGATGTTAAAAGGAGATAAAATCTCGATGTTCTTTTATGCGCACAGACGAGCCGTCAAGAATCCCAAGGAATTGACGTGGATTTTGCTTCGACGGAGCTCAGCCTCCCTCCCAGAGGCATGTGAGCGCAGGCGTACATGCGTACACCCTCGCTTTGGCAGTCTGTTGTGTTTTGTTGCACGCCCGCCTACGTGTGGCGAAAGCATGGTGTTCTGCGCGCACCCGCATCATGTGGCGGCTACGTGCGCATTTTTCACGCTTGCTGCAGTCAGCAATGCGGAGTTGTCCACGAGGAAATTCTATCGAATTTAGTCTGGTCTATAAAGTTCTAGCAATCACGCCGTTTCTCGCTTTCCATAGCGTAGGCGCTGTATAGCATTGCCAGATCTGTTTGGCAGGCAGAATTCCGTCAATTCTGTTCCTGCGCGTGAACCTTCATCAGGTCCGCGCTCATAGGACCAATCTCTTTCAAATTTTGCATGTGAACACGCATAACGCCTTAAGTGTAACCAATAACAGAACAGTGATGTCATAGACACTCCCACTGCAGGAGCGCACGTGGCAATAGGCTGGCACATCGTGATTTATCCGATCGTACAGTGGTCTGCCGCTTGCATACACCCCCTCGAATTCTGCTGCTAAAATTTCTTTCTCCTAGATCTTACTCCCCGTCAGTGTGCTGGCTGCCTCATTTCAACATGTCAGAAACGTCGTCTCCATGGGGAACACCGCTTCCAGCACTCGCTGATCAGTTGAAGCTGCTCCTGGCCAGTGGTGACATGAGCGATGTGCAGTTTACTGTGGGACGTCAGTACGGCGCAGTGAAGACCTTCTCCGCGCACAAGTCAGTCCTGCTAGCATTCTGAAATGAATTTTGAAATGGCTGATGGTGGTTATGTTACAGGTTTGTTTTGAGTCTGGGCAGCGATGTTCTGCACACCATGTTCCATGGAAGTGAGCCGGAGAGGGGCGACATTCCGATCGATATCCCGGAGATCCTGCCTGACGCGTTCACCAACTTGCTCCAGTGAGTATATGGAAAGTTGGAAACAATTTCATAAAGCGCTCGTCCTTGCACGGCTTACTCTATTGCATATCGTCGGTTGTGGCAGGAATGCAAAATGCATCTGTGGGCACTTGCTTAGGTATCTGTATACTCGCTCCGTGGATGAGAACCTGACATCCGACAATGTCTTCGAGACGATGCACTGTGCTGACAAATACAATCTGCCGCAGTTGATGGAACTCTGCTTTAAGTTCGTCAATAGCCAACTCAACGCAGGCAACTGTCTCCTGTTCTTAGAAAAGGTCAGCTCTTCCCTTTTCTGGTAAACAACAACCATCAGCATCTGTTACGGCTTCTTTAACAGGCCATGTCTTCAGCCCAGGAATGCAGCGCAGGTTTCGTGGAGAAATGCTTGACCGTGGTGAACGCGCACTGCCAGGACGTACTGCGCTCCGACCAGTTCACACTGATCGGACGGGATACCCTGGAAATGATCCGACAGCGTAGTTCATTGTCCGCTTCGGAATGGGAGATCTATACGGCCGTCGAAAAGTGATTGATTTTAATTTTTTTGGTGTTGTTACTGTGCTGCTTATTGGTCATTGGTCGCAGGTGGGCTGCGGCAAACTGTCTGCGGGGAAAACTTGACCCTTCCCCGGCCAACCGCCGGGCGGTACTGGGAAACGCGCTCTTTCTCGTCCGTTTTCCTTTGCTGACCGATGCGGAACTGGCCGACGGTCCTTTGAAAGTAAGGCTGTGTAATTTTATCCACAACAGGATCTACTGTAGTGCTTACCATAACGTCACAGGTTTTTATACGCACGCTAGATTCGCTTAGAATTTGAGACCCATTCTTAATCCGATAACCAGGCCAGTTTCAAAGAACTAGTCCATGTTGTAGAGTCGCTTGTTGCTTGATTCCGAGCTGCTGGACATTTTCCAGTTCAGGCACGCCGCCGACAACAAACCGCAGCTTCCCTTTCCGACGGAGCCCCGACGGGGTTCACTGCTGCGCATCCCCAACGGCTATACTGAATTCCTGTTCAACGAGGAAGTGTTCGTCGACGTGCTTTTGTTCTGTGATTACTGGTGGCCGTTCAAGATTGCCGGTGTACGAGGAGGAGATTTTCTCGTGACCCGGGATGATGGGGAACCGGTGGTACAGCGCGCACCGTGCAAGATTGTCCGGGCCTCGGAAATCCTGAAGAAAAACCAGAAGATTAAGGCTTTCTCCGGGTCGGGTTATCGTGAATGCATCTATGGTGGGCGCCGCACGGACAATCTGCACTGCCTCTTCTTTGAAAACACGTCCCGCTCGGAGCTGGTATGTCCGTTTGAGAATCTTCTGATCAGTCGCGTCCAGGTGGCGGCCTGGAAATCATCGGCCGCGCAATCGAATGGGTGAACCCAGACAGTTGATGGCTCGGCGGTAATAATGGGATTCGCGTACGGTCCGACGCCATTTACCGGGTGGCTGAAGAAAATGGCCGTCTCCGTTTTAAGCTTGTTTCTCGCAAACGATTCGTCGCAACGTATCGTGTTTTCACTCATTGGACAGAGAATTTTACTGACTATTAAAAACAACTAAGTCTATTAAAAAAACTTAAGACATGCTCCCTAGCGATGGGACGAAAGGAAAGTGTGTAAAAACTTATCGTGTCCCAGCTCGCAACATCCAGAATCTTGCGCCATTTCTTTCCCGCAAGAGCTACAGGGTGGTCACGCCAAGTTGTCACCATCATTGAAATTCATTTTTAAAAATTAGAAAAAGTTTACTTGCTCCAGTTCATTTGTTTGTTTCTAGTACAAAATTTAATTCTGCGTTTACTGAAATCGGTATCTGACCGTTGGCTTTGAAACCGACGTCAGAAACAAGGTCCGAAGTGAGATCCCTGGTGGTGCATTTGTGATCATTATACTCACCTAATCAGAAAAACAGGAAAACATTTTCTACTCTCGAAATTAGTTTAAACAAGCTGAGAATACATTAGGTAAGCGTTGGAAAGGTGAACCAACGCAGTGGAACCATTATTTCATTTATGGAAAATTTTTATTGGAGATTGTCAGGCTTTTCTAATGCTATACGGTACGTACGGCGAAAATTTTTTCGTAAATACCTGGAACCTTCAGATGTCCGAATGAGCGTTAAAAGATATGCGGAGAGGATCATTCTAAACGATCCTAAAGCAAACAAGGATATAGATCACGTTCCTGATTTACTGTGAACCACCGACGAATGGAAGAAAAAATCAAGAAAGCGTTCGTCAAAAAAGATTATGTGCCCGATGGGGATTCGCTGGAACCGCGTTCACCTCGTCCATAGCCGCGTTCACCTGGTCCATAGCAAACGCGAAACTGATGCTACATATGTCCGTAATCGTATTATGTTAAAATTGATTAGGGGTGACATTCCTCGTTTGTGTGAGGATCGCTAAAAGGGGGTCCTCCCCCATTTTGACAGTGCTGATTTTCAAGTCGCAGTTGTGACCTCCCAGGGGTTCGAAGAGAACCACATCATATACGTCCAAATACACTATTGGTGGTTGAAAAGTCTTGACCTTTCACCGATCAGCCAAGGGATGACCTCGATTTTTAATTAAATTTATGGCGGACGGTAGGCGAACACGGTAGACGGGTCGGGACGTATTCTGAAGCAGGTGGCGTGCGAGTTTTCTGGTGTAACTTGTCAAACAACGCTTACCTGTTGGCAGTCTTGGGCTCAAATGATGCAGAAGAGAAATTATGATCATGTCAAAATTAAATAAAAATTCTAGAGTCACTCTGGAATATATAATAAATTATCAAAATTTTGGTGACAACTTGGCGTGACCAAATGAAAATATGTAGCTAAGGCCTTGCCCTAGTAGAAACTGGTTGGGCGCAGATCAGTACGTACTTCTTCTGTTAGAAAGGAACTGATTTTCAAACTCTCTACTTGCCCGTTTCACGAGAATTTCATTTGTATTTGACCTTCTTTAACTGTTTTATTTAGAGCAAGCCCTTCTTTTTCAAATTTAAAAAAAATTGTCGACTTGGTGCTTGCGCCGGATGCGCTATACAGTTAGCGCATTTCGTTACTTTTCGAGAAAAATGAACTTTTATAACCTGATTTTTTAGGCATTTTTGCTAGAATTTTTTTGCTGCCTGACAGAGTGCAACAGGAAATGTCGGCTTATGTGAAATATGTAGCTAAGGCCTTGCCCTAGTAGAAACTGGTTGGGCGCAGATCAGTACGTACTTCTTCTGTTAGAAAGGAACTGATTTTCAAACTCTCTACTTGCCCGTTTCACGAGAATTTCATTTGCGTGGCCTAATTCACTCCTCTCCTGGCCGAACGCAGTCACCGGAAAGCCACAACTCTTAACGGCAATAAAACAGAGAACAACTGTTCTACCAAAAACTGTAATGCAAAATACTGCCATCTACTTAGCTGATTAACAGCAATTTTTAATTTACAAATAGGGAAATTAAAAATTTTGTTTCCGGGACATCCGCAAACTCCACCCAATTTCCCAAAATAATTTACTGTTAAGTTTGAACTTTATATAAGGCCAGTGTAACTTAACTTTTGTATGTGGTAAAGATTGCTCTTTCGAATGAAATCAACGTGCTGCCAATCAGACATAGACTGACCCAGCACACCTTGATAAATCAGACGGCCATTTTGTTCAGCCACCCGGTAAATATCTGTTTCTGGCTTACGATAAGTGGGGCCCTGTTGTTGGTATGAGAGCGATCTTCTGTTTTGACTAGTTTACAGATATTTGTTGCTACAACTTACACTCTGAACTAGAAGTACAAGTTTCTTTGTAATATTACGCGATAGAGAATATCTTATGTACTTCAGTTCACTCAAAATTTTCTACTTGATTTGTTTCTTGCGTTATTTTTTGTTTTGGTTCTGTTCGATCTTGATTGTACCCGTCTGGATTGTACACTGAATGTTTTTCGCCTTATGCAGCAGACAAACTGAAATTATCCACGAGTTTGATGAATTTTACCATTAATACCAACAAGTACAGTACTTAATAAATAGCGACCCAATTACGCTATACATGCTTCTTGTAGCCGTTCCGTTATTCATATGGGAAACCCAATTATGAATCTCATAATTTACTGTGCTATCGGTTTCTTATTAGCACAACCCCGTCACATTGCCAATTTTTAAACAAAAACCGAATTAATTACGACAGTGCAATCTCTCTCAAATTATCCGCGCCATCCATGGTTCCGAGAACGGACTCCGGGTGGCCCCGATTTCGATCCATAGACGCTGGCGTAAGAAATTCGTGGATGTCGCTGGCTGAATTTTGTTTTATTTTCACCACCCAGACATTGCTCAAGCTCACCGCTGAACACCCGACCGATTTTACTGACCGCTACTGGCCAAACCGATGCTTGGATTTACAAAATTGTTTCGGCACGCTATATCGCTCCTTCCTTTCGACCGTGTCATGCACTGGCGCTGACAGCTGTTTTAGTGTTCTAAATTTTTTGCGTTGGAAATTGAAAACTCGAGTATTTAGTGCTGCTATTCGGAAGCCAGAAAATGGACGGTTTCGCAGTAAGGTGTGGACTATGCCAACGTATGGCAATTCGCACATTAGAAATTAGCTGATGTGCTCCACCATAATTTCATCGCATCCGGCTTCGCCTTGACTTGTAGTCCCTGTGTAACCTCGCAGCACTTTCCATACAACCTGCACGGAATTTCGGCGTAGCTATACATTTACACGAGTACAGTAGTCACCAGATTTTGTCGGTACCGCCGCGTGTGCACCTGGCGCGTTTTCGGTGAAAAGCTCGTGCCACAAAAACACCTGCGAGCGGTGTGATCATTAACATATGTCCGCAACAAACTACTGTACGCAGCGTTGAATACATGCATCGCCCACATATAAGAATCGTCGCGGAAAAACAAATTTGTGCATTTTGCCGGTACAACTTTTCCGTCCAAACGCTGTACTGCATTGTATGGTTCAAAATGCTGACGCGCGCTGCGTTATTGTTGGTGCTGGCGTGGATGTCCGGCGTACACAGCCAGGAGTGTCCGGAAGCGTGGCGGCGCTTCCGCGACAGCTGCTACTTGATGGGCGAAGACTATCCCGGGTTGGTATGCTGTACAGGCCGTGTATGCCCGTGAGCTTTGAGGATTTTCTAATATTTTTTTATGCATTCTGATAGTTATACCATTTCAGTTGTTCACATATATTGTAAGCCGCGTTTGTATATGCCGGTGACCTTTCAGGGTTTTTTATATACGTACGTATGCACATTATTAGTTTCTATATATCACAGTTATTATTGTGTATTTTCTATGCATTCTTATAGTTATACCATTTCAGTTGTTCACATATATTGTAAGCCGCGTTTGTATATGCCGGTGACCTTTCAGGGTTTTTTATATACGTACGTATGCACATTATTAGTTTCTATATATCACAGTTATTATTGTGTATTGTCTATGCCTTCTTATAGTATTTATTTATTGGTTTCCTTCGTGTTCAGCAACGATGATTACACACTACGGCTACAAGTTCCAAAAACAACCAAAATCATTCCCTTCCACAAATTTATTTCTGCCCGGCAAAGTGCCTAAAACTGCGGCAGCGTTTCCCTTCATTATCGCTAGACTGATGCGTTGTTTTAAGAAAGCGGTAGATCGGCTTTCTCCTGTCTTTCCCCGAATTAGGTGTCCAACGAAGCTGACTATATCTTTCGCAGCTTCTCCAAGCACGCCAAGCGTTTCCACCGCGAATGGATAGAGCAGATACTGTTCTCCGAGGGAACGGTACTTTTGTCGCTTCCGACTTTCCGCTTGCCGAGCTGCTGTACCAGCCGCTTTTGCAGTTCCTTTAAGGTACGACTGTGCCATTGTATCTGCGCATGTGGCATCCCATGCCAGCTGTTTTCCATCACGGACAGGTACCAGAGTAACTCCATCCGGCCGCATGCCATTGTCTCCCGACATTCCCTTGGGCTCTAGTTCACTAGGAATACCCGCCGCAAAAAATCCACGATGAAGAATGCTGTTCAACTCAGAGTGTAAGCTCCATCTGCCTTTGTTGTACAAACAAGACAAGCCATGGTGGCCGTCCGGGGTTACCGGAAACGAGCATGCTTGGCAGTCGTGATTAGCTACCACAGGTAAGCCAAACCTCAATCCTATGGCAATTCTTACTTGATCATCGGAAAGTAGGGTGCCCAAACTAGCCGCCGGCAACGCATACAGCCATGCTGCAGATTCCCTTTCGGAAGCAGCCAGCAGGAGCGCCATTTCCTTGTCGCTTCCGCTTTCCATGATTTTCAATCTCCATCTCGAGTAAGACAATTCCACCACCGGCCAGTCCCAGCTTTTCTGAGATTTCCGAGCCTGTTCCACCGGCAGTTCACAATGGTAGGTATCAGTCCATAATGTTATGGCTTCATTTAGACCCGACAACTGACAGTTAGGGAGCAATTCTGAGCAGATGGACTGCACCGAGGTAGCCGAAGCGATGAACGCTGACAGTGCTAGCTCCTCCGTACGCCGTATACCCAGTCCTCCTCGCCCCACTGGCATAGTCATCTGTGTCCACTGCGATTCATTAATATCCGCGTTGGCGATTCTTATAGTTATACCATTTCAGTTGTTCACATATATTGTAAGCCGCGTTTGTATATGCCGGTGACCTTTCAGGGTTTTTTATATACGTACGTATGCACATTATTAGTTTCTATATATCACAGTTATTATTGTGTATTGTCTATGCCTTCTTATAGTTATACCATTTCAGTTGTTCACATATATTGTAAGCCGCGTTTGTATATGCCGGTGACCTTTCAGGGTGTTTCACGTACTTATGTACAGTATGAGCTTTTATATATTATTGTGTGGTGTTTTTGTGAGCATCCTTTATCTACGTCAGCTTCTAGGAATAGTCTTTCTTCGAAAACTTAAAAATAAACTATTCCTAGAAGCTGACGTTCTTTGTTCGTTGCAGGTGTGCGTGGAGGCCATGGATTCGGCGTTCGACGGCCAGCTGACGCGGGAGTACGGTGACGCACACGGAGCGTCTTTGCTGACCTTCGCCGATTGCAAGGACAGTGTGGCGCTGCCACTCTGCGCGATCGGCCTGGAGTGACCGCTGTCCATCAGCAACCGGAATTCGTGACCTTTAACACATAATCACACATCCTGCTGAGCGTAATCGATCCGTTGCCTTTTATCTGAATTTGTTTAAACAAATTGTCGGCTCATAAAAATCAATAGCCGTTTAACAAGACATAGCTAGGTGTTCGGTCGTTATACGGCACGTTTTTAACATTTTTCACGTTTTTTTGCAACACATAGTTAACTGTGTTTTGTTGGAGCTGTTTTTATGCTGGAGAC